AGAAAATCAGGTTCCACCCACGATGTGGAAAAGGGGAAGCATCCCTCTGGGGTCCCCGACCGCCTTAGGCAACTTCCTTGCGCAGCTCAGCAGTTTCACACCTCAAAAAATATAGATTTCAGTCCCCATCCAATAAAAAAACAAAAACACTGATTGTAAGACAATAGAAAAAAAGATCCGCAAAGGGCAGCTGAGTCGTGACGCAAACTGGAACTATTAACTTGTTTAAAGGAGACAATGGAGATGGAAGCTGTCTGCAGAAGCCGATGGCCAAGAATGAATCTGAGATACAGAGAGAAAGGAGAGAGAGAGAGAGAGGAGGAGATGGAGAGAGAGAGGGGTGGATGAGGAGGAGGGGAGACAGAGCAGAGGAATTTATGATACGCGGCGCTGATCAATATTGCTGGTAAAACCCACCTGATTAGGGTGATCCGTGAGCTCCCACGCATGGATGCCTTTCCTTTAAAGTCTGCTTGTGTTGTTTGGTGCACACAAACCCCCCCAGATCCCGCGCGCTGGCGCACGACGCACCAAATCAACGCCTAATTGCACCACTGTCCTCCTCCAGAGACCCTCCTCTACATTCAATTAAGTGTATTACTGATCAATTGGATGCATGTCTTTTATTTTTTATGAGGGGAGTATTTCAACACATTAATAAGTCTTGGAAATGTTCGCGCGCGCTTAATTGAAGGAACTTCCCAATTCATTTTTTTTTTTTCACTGATTGATTATCTCCTCCTTCATCCTAGCCTGCTTTGTAAAAAAAAAAAAAATATGTTCGCCTTGGCTCTTTTGCTGTAAATGGAATTAAACAAATGAACCGCGTCCTATCTGCGATATAATAACAATTTGATAAGCTATGTGTGGAGGCAATCGGAACAAGACTGGGATGTTCCCTCTGCCTGACAGTGTCGGGGGAAATGGGAGCAACACGTTCAATTTGTGGATGCTGCCGCGTCAGAAGTCAGAAGAGGGCGCGCAGGCACGGGACGGTGGCACCATCTAGTGGTCAGTAAATGTAACTACATTGTCAGGAATTTGTTTGTTAGGTGCCAAAATTGATATATTTATTTTAAAAATAACTAAATAAATATTCAAATCGCTTCATAATGATTAACAAGATAATTAAAAAATAATAATTTATTCCATTGTTTCAGTCAAAAGTGATAGATGGATTCAAATATTTATATCTGTTAATTCTCCTTATTAAGGCTTTCAGCTAATAACCCCCTAAACCTGTTTGAATGTCAAACAGGACAAACAAAATCAAATTCTTATACAGTAAAGTTATTTTGTTTTTTATGGTGTATGCTCACAGTGAACATTATGGACTAGAAAGTCATGCACTGACACTCACCAGAAGAGGTTAAAGGTCACTTGAAGCCTGCTGTTTAAAAAACATAAGGGAAAGTTGTGTGGGAGGAACAAGATTTTGAATACACAGTGATCGCACACAAGGAATCAATATATTGTATGATATTCTGCTTTAATGTGACGCATCTGTGAACATTTATTTTACAATTGCCCATATCAAACTAAAAAAATATATTTTTTAAGGTTACAATTTACTTTAACAGCTAAAAACTGTTTTGATGTTTTTTAACATAGGCTATATAGCAGTGTTCGTCGCTTTGGGAGTGTTGGCTTAGTGGTTAGAGCAGTGCGCTTGTGCACAGAGCAAGACCCGTAACCCCACACTGGGTGCCACACAATGGCGGCCCACTGCTCCCCAAAAGGATGGTTCAAATGCAGAGTTAATTTCCCCATTGTCTTTTACCCATTTTAAATTGCGTTTGTTTAAACTATTGCTTGATCTTTGAGAAACATCATAAAACTGTGCTGGAATTCATGTAGAACCCATCTTCAATAGCTACACCTGTTCTGACGGAGAGCCTGTAGAGCAGTTTTATAGTAGAGCAGTATAACAAAGCTGTGTTCATGTTAGGAGGCAGTTTGTTTGGTGTCTGTCAGAGTGTGCGTCCCTAAGATTGGTGAGTTGCAAATATATGTGTCTAATGAGGATAATCTGACAATGTTACTGCTCTGGACATCCTATGTTTATATATTCTATCTAAAGAGATATATGGCTAATCTAAGATAAATTGGTTTCCATTCAAGTTATACAAGTGAGACCACAGTAGAACACAAACCTGGCGTAATAACATGTTTGTTTTCTTTAGTGCTACATCCTGCTGTAATTTATATTTGTGTTTACATTGGATTTTAATTTGGGTTCTGTTTCTTCATTGTTTGAGATCTACCTGTGTAAATCTATATGCATTTGCTGATTAAAAGCCAAGAAACAAAAATGTGCCAGGACATTTGCTGGAGAGCCACATTTCCATCTGACCCATGCACACTTTGCGATCATCATCAAAGGGAATCGAACTTAGGCAAAATTCAAAAGAGCAGCAGTAAACTGCAGGAAGGCTTGGTCATTTGAACAAATAGCAGGAGAGAACATTTTTATTTACTCTGAAAAATACATAGAGAGAAGTAACAGCTCTCAGCTGCAGCTGTAAATTTGTTTCTAGCAGTGGTTTTTAGAGTTAGGGTACGGTTTAATGACATTTATGGTACACAATATCCACAGTGAAATTTAATTTAAAGGGGGATATCAAATGTCAGCGACTACATTTTATGGAAAATTAAATCAAGCATGTTGGTATTGAATTAGTAATGTGTTTGGAACCTACTGCTGCAATGAAACAAGAATATATTAGTTTGTAAAGGTGTTTTTTTAATAACGTATAAATCTTAACTCTTTTTTGGGTGTTTTTAAAACCGAGGACCGAATTAAGACAAAGTTGCCTTCATAATGGGATATTACATTTATCTTATTTAAACTGGGTGCATTTAAAAGGTTTTAGAATGCAATGTAGAAATATTAAAAAAAAATTCAAAATAAAGTATTCCTATATTTTTATATGCATTTAAAAGGTTACATTATAGGTTTGTTTTATTAGTATAAAAACAAACATATATATGCTGTGTGTCAGTAACTCCCATTTAATTGAGTAACTGATTATGCCAGTATAATTAATTAGCAGTCATTAAATCTCCCTTGAGGATTTCTGGGTTAGACCCAATTTTTTTAGGAACTACTGCTTTAGATGAAGTTCCTGTCATAATGAATATTACTCTTAATTTTTAGATTTAGTTCAAAGGAAAATTCAACTAGTTTGCCAAAGCAGCAGGAAGCTTTAGTTCCTGGGACCACTTTGAGTCGACATGTCCGCCAACAGCCTGCAGCAGTGATACGGGGCCTAATTTGACCAAATTAACACAGAATTACAACAATTTAAACAAACAAACAGATTATGTCAGTGTTGGGGGGAATCTGTTTTGTGCAATTTATACTTTCCTCTTTTATAAATAATTTATCAAATATTCTCCTGATTTATAACACTGCCAAATAGCTGGCCAATGGTTATACTTTATAGATGGGTTCACCTCTAGTTACTGTCGGCCCATTGACTATTAAAGCACAACACAGGTATAAACATTCCTATATAGACATCACTATTCAACTATAATAACCATAACTTCATAACCCTTTTTTAACAGATGAGTCTTATAATATAATCATCCAATTTATTTTATATTTAGCATTTTAATAAAAATCTTTTTTATTGGTCTTGTGTCATATTCTGAGAAGCTCTATAACGGGATATCATTAGCTGCAAGCTATAACCATCAAAATTCACTAAATTGAACACTTAAAAAATTTAAATGTGTATAATAAATTTCTGTGATAAGAAAAGGATATTTTGGATTAAATTCTTAACATAAAATAACCTTTTTGACATATCTTGATTTACTAAATTGCAGAAGAATTTGAAAACCCATTTTAAAAACTCAATTTATCTTGCAACCTCCAGGCCAGCAGGGGGCCCTAATTAGCTGCAAGGTTCCAGAAATCTTATTTAGCTTCTGGAAAAACTTTAAGCAAACATGACTCACACAGGAAAGAAATGAAATTCAAAGGCATCAACTCAGAGGCTTGAAATAGTATGTTTTTATTTATTAAACAGTGGCTTTTAACATTCTGGTCACATGTGAAAAACGTTTCTAATTCTGGGGGCGGGGAGGCTTAATAACATATGAACACATATGATGTATGAGACCTCATGGTAAAGAACTTATGTGAACTAAAACCCTCTAGGATTTTAACGGACCAAAAAAATAAAACAGTTAAATAAAAACCAAACTAATAACTGAGGAACTGGGATCTGTTATGGTATTATTTATACCATCCAAACAGCTTAAGTTGATAGACAGTATGATTGCTACAGAAGCCTTTGTTATAAAAATAAAGCTTGATCTTTCTTATTCTCTACTTTTTGTTCTTTTTCATGGCTTACAGTTCGAACATTAAGACATAACTACATTTGGTCTTCCTCGTTTCCTCCCCAGCTCTCCTCTTGGTCTTCTTCATTCCCTCCAAACGCCTCCCAGTGTTTCAAAGACTACCTTCAGGAGCCGCTACCGATTAAGCATGTTATTCTTAGTAAATGATGCACAAACTATTAAAAATAAATGAATTACATTGTTAGGGATTTAAAAACTAAGATCAAACAGTTAATGTAAATATGCTCCAGTGTAGAAATGTCTTTAAATCTTTCAGTCAGGAGACATGGTCCTTTCAATAGCTCACCCAGAGCAGCATTTAGGCACTGAGGATGGAAAGTAACACAACAGTGTGGGATTATAGGGCTATGAAAGGATGTAACATACAGATGAAGGTAGTCAGAAAGTAAATTCTTCCAGTTATTAAGTTAAAGAGTAACAGTAGTACAACTGTGACCTGTTACGTATTGAATTGTAAATCTTCTACTCACTGTAACTGTGTCTATCATGTACTATTTAAGGTTCCTATCCATTGGAGGAAATTGTAAACTCATCCTATGGACAGGTTTTAAGAGTCAAATCAATCACAAAAAAGGTTTCAGAATGAAAAAAAAAAAAAGAAATGGGTTGATGGTGGGGTTTTTTTGTTGTTGTTGTTTTAGAGGAAATTGAACAAAGATTGAGCCGCAATCTTTGACTCCAAGCAAAATCAAATCCTAGACGAATTAATCGCAGGTAGATTCACTTTTAAAAAGCAGCAGAGAACTGTAGTTAGATCTTTGGAAAAATAACTCTCCGCCAAAACCTTCCTAACTTTAAATAAGTTCAAAAGAACAGCTCAGATAAGGAAAATCCACGTTTCTTTTCACAAAATCAATTTCATAAACTATAATTCGGATGTGATCCGACTTGGCCAACATTGCCAGTTTCTAAACTCTTATTCCTGCTTGTTCCTTTGCACAGACTACCTTCATCCGCTGCTTAAATGCAGGATAATATAAGCAAAGCAGTAAATATCCATGGTCTGCATATAGCTCTATATTTACATGAGTAAATACAGGTAGGTGTATGTACAGCAGATGGGGTTTTGTGTAGATAGCACCAGGCTGTCTGGTTTCTTAATCAACTACACATTTATGTTAGTTTACATCATGGTTTTTGGTTCTTATATGACTATGCTTTTCTGTAAGGCTGTTTAGTTTCTTCCTTCATGTTTCCGAGTCTTCCTTGTTTTTCTTCAAGTGGTCTCATTTGTTCCAGTTTAGAGTTTTGCTGTTTAATGGTTTGTGGCTCTCTGTCCTTCATTTGTGGCAATTTGTAAGTCTGAAAAACAAAAAAGAGAGAAGGAAATAAGAGAAATATCTGTGCAAACTGAACAGATTTTTAGGAAGTTTTACCCCTTAAACCTTTTCATATTGTGTCACATATTAAGCACAACCTTTAAAGTATTTTAATAGTATTTCTTTGTTATTGACCCACACATATATATATGAAAATAATAAACAGTAAAAAATGAATCTGAAGCCAGGCTTATATTTTTACTAAGCTCCTCCATCATATTTACAGCTGCAAGTCTTTGAGGCTCTAGAAAGTCTGAAAGATTTGCAAATTATTGTTGGATAGGCCAAGGTTAGTCAGATAAGATCTAGAACGTTTGAACAGAAATGTCTAGTCTTGTCAGATTTCTAGCTAACTTTAAACTTTGACATGAACTTTAAGAATTAATATCCATTGGTCTAAACCAGCCCTGCCCCTGGAAGGTGAAATGTCAATACTGTTAGTATAACCTAAACTGGGCTGGACGATAATTCAATAACAATATATATCGATTGATCGCAGAAAGTCTATAAAAGTTTTATCATGTAGGTTGTTCCTAAAGTCATCACTTCCCACCAACCAATGGCAACCACTGACCCAGGCACGAGGTCACAAAGCGCCCGCTCTCAAACCACAACACGGAACACATGCTGATGTCGCAGCAGGAGAAGCGGATGAAATTGTACCAAAAAAGGGTTTTAGTAGTTCGCCAGCTTGGCAATATTTCGGTTATAGCAAGCCAGACAGAAACCAAACCACAGTTATTTGTAAAATTTGCAGGGAACTGGTAAAAACGACTGCTAACAAAACCAACTTGTTTTATCATCTAAGCCGTTCACACCCGATGGAGAACGAGCTGTGCCAGCCCCAGCGTGGTTCCACGTTATGGGGGGAATCTTCAGGAACTTCTTCCAACACAAAGCAGGGTAAACAGGGCTTCCATCTTTGTGATAAATATAAAAAAAATTGTCCAAGTGGTACCTTACTCATGCAGTAACATGCTTCATAGTGATGAATATGCTGACATTGTCTGCAATTGAAAACCTGGCTTCAGAACGCTGCTCGCCACTCTTGATCCGTGATACGAAGTTCTGGGCTGCAAGTTTTTCTCTCACTCAGCACTCGGTAATTTGTATAAAGAGTGCAGTGGAATCAGTGCAGAAGGATGCAATCTGTGTCTTACTTCGCCACAACATCGGACCTCTGGTTAAGTCACACATCTGAGCCCTACCTCAGCCTCTCAATTCACAACAGAGAATGGAACCTGAGAAGTAAGTGTCTAAATCTTTAAGATAATTATCGATACAGATCAATATGCATTTTTAGTTCGATATGCTTATTTTCTACGTCGTCCAGCCCTAAACTTAACTCTCATTTAAACCTCTCTAAAACCTTATCTGATTGGTTCTAACTCCTCTGAGAATTCACAGAACTGCTGCAATCATACAATACTTAAATCACACACAGGTAAATCTTTTTTTAAATTGTTATTATTTTGAAGGAAACTGGTTGCACACATTTTTTAGGGGGTATCAGAATTAATACTTTAGACATATGCACTACATTCAACTGCTGTTTTCCATAAAGTCTAAAAAAAGAAACTAACCTTAAATTATAATCTGAAAACATAAGAAAAAAATATAACCTTGTTTTCAAAAATTCAAAACCAGAACAAAAATATTTTGAGCAAGCAGATATGAATACACAGGTTAAAATATAGAAGGAAACAGCTGTTCAGAGTGCTGAGTAGTGGTTTCTCTAACTCTACCTAAGGAATTGATCATCTGCTTGGACAGAAACAACCCCTAGTTTTACAAACACAAAAGCATAAAACTTCTGGTAAGCAACCTCCTAACAGGCAGACTTTGCTGAGGTATACAACATTTCAGCCTGACTTGGTGGATTCTGACTGCACCTGATCAGTGCGGCAGGGGGGAGAAACCACAACTAATCCAGAGAAATGGACATAAAGAAGAAGAATCTTCAGAAAGGTAAGCACTGTATTCTTACACTGTGTTTCACCAAACCAGAGATTTGGAGCGGGTGCTGACGCCTTTCCTCCTGCTGGCTGCTCCCACTGATGCGTTTCGATGGCTCCGCTTGTGCGACTCCAAGTACAACTAGATTTAAAAATGAGGAAAAAATTGATTAACAAAGTATTCATTCTGATACTGTGAGACACGGAACAGTTCAAGATCAGCTTATTTTCCATAATTTCTTGACATTTTAACCAGTTACCACCGAAAGTCTCTAATTCAGAGGTTTAGGGGTAGCGGTCTCATTTATTAAACTGTCTAGGATTTATACTAAAAGCGTGCATATAGACATCCATCCATCCATTTTTTTACACGAAGGGTGCTGGTGCCTATCTTCAGCTATCTACGGACTAGAGGCGGGGTCCACCATGGACAGGTCGCCAGTCCATTACAGGGCAACACAGAGACAAAACAGGACAAACAACCATTACGTGCACACTCACACCTAAGGAGGATTTAGAGAAGACAATTAACCTAACAGTCATGTTTTTGGACTGTGGGAGGAAGCCGGAGTGAATATAGACATGTTGAATGTAATTGTTTACTTCCGGAAGTTTTGCGAATGTGCACAACACTGGAGGGCAAAAAAATTTGTTTTACTAGCCGAACACAGTCACGCTGCAACATTTCTGTTAACAATATGAAACCAGGGGATGTCAGTATTACTAATTAAGATCATCTTTCTGCAGAAGAATACAAAAGGTACACAGCAAAGGTAACTGTATTTAGCATAAATCCTCCAGACCGTTTTGAAATGGCTGACGATCTGATGATTGACAGCCCCTGGAACTCTCTACCACCCTTACTCAGAAACACGGACTTGCTTCTCCATTTCAAATCACAACTCAAAACTCATCTGTTTAAAATCGCCCATTCTCTTTAATATGAATTTCCCTGTCCCAGCCTTTGTATTTTTTTAATGGTTTTATTCTGTGTTTTGACTTTGTTTCTGTCATTGTGTTTTTATCTTTTGTACGGTGACCTTGAGTGTCCAGAAAGGCACATTTGAAATAAAATGTATTATTAGTCCTCAAAATTGGCCGCTTTTTCAATATGGGGATAATTATCTCATTAACACACCGGGACTTTATACAGCAGAGGCAATGAAGGCATACAAGTCATTAGAAGGATGTGAATTCTTCGTGTCTGGACATGTGATCCAAATATTTTATCACAACGATGAACGCAGTGTGCTTCTTGAAGTGTCACAGAAGATTTTTTTATATTTCTATTTTTTAAAAAACAAAGCGGCGTGTGTATGACGTCATCTGTGTGCGCCGGCTACCGTTCATTCTTCCTGTCCGCTGAACTGCTGCTAGTTTTACTTACATGCCTGGAAGATGTCTAGTGCTACTACCACAGATGATCTCACTTTAGAAATGGAATTGAACGACTCAGATTAGCTAGCCGAATGAATAGAAGGGGTAGAGCGGTGTAATATAAATTGGTTAAATAAAGTTGTTGTTTTTTTTTAAAACAACTTTGAAAAAAAAATAAAAAACTCCCGCCCAGGGCGCGGATGACGGCATACACGCGCCGCTTTGTTTTTAAAAGATATAACTATAAAAAATATAACCGCGGATGTCTGGGGGACAGTGATTCGCCTACATGTTATGAATGCTGGCTGTCATAAAGAATAATATAGGAACTGTTTACTTTGTGCCTTCAAGTCGTTTGCTCATAGGAAGACGTTACCTGGATATAGCCTAACGGAATATCTTCAGAACAGCTCCAAATGACACAAAACTCATATGGGTGAGTAGAACATGATGTAATAACGTAAAATCAAGGGCCACATGTAAAAAAAAAAAACTGATTTCTCCTTTAAACGTGATGCTGTTCTCTGCAGTTCCATCTTAAGTTAACATTTTGTTAAACTTAAATATCTCTCCGCCTCGAAAACTGGGTCGTGTTGTTGTGAGCCTGACACCAACGAGTGTAATACCCTCATTATTTACCACTATAAAAAGTCTTTAGCATAGTCATTATCGATAGAGTGTAACTAGGCAGGTGTATTTAAATGATAATTGAATGTTTACAGTAATCCGTAAACATTCAGTTGATTCGATTGAGATGCCACTCCCCTGGGATCAACAGAGAGGGGAAGGTCAGGCGAGGATTTCAGCTGCCTTATGAACTTTTTTTACTTGTGTGAAAGGTTAGCTCAGCAGTCCAAGCATAGTTTTGAGGTTTTCAGATTCTATGAAGACATTCTACAGTTTAAGTTTCTCAAAAAGGGAAATTCATTGTGAGATGAATCATGATACAATCTGTCCTCAGCTCCCCGATGTCACCATCTGTGTCTCCAAAGGGAGTCTGAGGGGTCAGAGTTGGCGTACGGGGCCGCACATTATAAAACCAAAACAGTTTATAAAAATCGCTTGTGTGGAAGTCTACATACAAAAGTTTAGGGCTCTGTTTTCTGCATACATAAGCTCTATAAATTGGACCCCCGATCCTTATAGATGGGAAGTTTTACTAGAAGTTTCTCAGAAATCTTTGTTCTTCCGCTCGCCAAAAGGGCTGAGTTGAGTTGCTAATGGGGTTAAAAATGGATCAGTTTCCAGATCATGTCCAGAAACGTTTAGCATTTTAATCCCTGATCTTCTTTATTATCACTGTTGCCTTCTGCCTCGATGCTCCGTCATGCTGAAAAATGTATTGCTCATTACAGTGTTGCTTCTAGTTTGTTGGGCAAATTGGCCCCTGTAGGTTTTCTGATCCCTTTCATTATTTAGGGGGGGAGTTTAAGGCGCACTGTGATAGAGCACACACTGACGAAAAAAAAAAAAAAAAAAAAAAACAAAAAAAAAAAGAAAAAAAAAAAACACACACTAAAAAAAAAAAAAAAAAAAAAAACACCAACAAATTGGAGGTATTACTTTACCTCAATCCTCTTATTAAATCTCAGGATTTCCTGCAGAGCAGTTCTCTATCTTAATGTTTTATTTAGGATAAACTGCCATCTCTGATGCCCCCGTTCGTGCTACAAGTATCCCACTGTGTATCCCATCTAACTGCTGCCAATCCAGAGCAAGCTTTGCCCTGGTGGAACCCAGCAGAGATAGTCTTGGCACTTGCTGGGCTTTCTGGCTAATGCAAAACTTGCCTCCAACTCTCAAAACTCCTTTCTAAGTCCTTAAATGGTCAACAAATGTCTTGATTGGATGCAGCAAAACCTGTAACTTGTTAAGCCTTTTTAGAGCAGAGAACAATGACGCCAGGCACGCCTCCCCTATTGTAGTAACTTTTCTGCTGCCCTAATTGAATTAGAAAGACAGAATGATGTCAGATGCTACCCTGAACATATTCAAATTTTTTTGTCTTGTCCCTTTTCTGCAGTAATGAAACAGTTGCATTACATTTAATCACCATATTTTTTTTACAAAAACTTAATAGCAAAGATCTTATCCATGTAAATTTCTGTCATTTCCTCTTTTAAAAAGTTTCTCATTCATTAAAATCCCTACCTTCTTAGCAAAGGCCCGCCCACACTGGTCGCAAGCATGAAGAGAGAAATTCTTTGTCACTCTGACTTCAGTGGAGGACGTGACAAAGCTGCTCTCTGACTGGACGTCGTGTCGTCGGGTGTGTGGGGCTTGGTTGCTGGATGGGGTTGAGGTATTACGTGAGTGTGAGTGTTTCTCACTGCGCCGGGTCAGAGGGGGGCTGAGGGGGCGGGGCTGCTGGACCGTCTGTTGTCTGTCCTGCTTGCGAGTAACGGGTGGGGAAGGAGTGAATACCGAGGATAAAAGCTCCTGCTGCTTCCTGGTGACGGGGATGGGAGGCGGGGCGGAGGTGGAGGCAGAGGTGGCAGTTGATACAGCTGTGGAAGCTTCTTGTTTCCGGGTGATTGGAGGTGATGGAGAGGAGGATGAGGACGACGATGATGATGACGAACCGTGACGTCCGTTCATCTCCTCTTTCCCGCTGCCTGTCCTCTTGTTTGTGCTGTTCAGGACCGCCTCCGCCAGCCGCTTCACGGCTCTGCTCTCCAGTTTGGGCATGATCTTCGCCAGGTACGCAGATGACTTCTTGTGGACAACAGTCACGTGACGCAGGACGTCACGTTTGCGGCGTGACTCGTAGCGACATAGAGGGCAGCGGTAGAACTTAATAAAGATGTCATTGCCGTCTGTGTGCAGTTCGATGTGCTTTGTTAAATTCTGACGCGAGCTGAACTGTCGTTTGCACAGTTTACAAAAGAGCTGCTTAAAGTCAAAGCCCACCGAGAGTTTGTTTATTTTAGCAGCCATGTTTGTGCTGCACACATTGCCCCCGCGGGACGAGGGTGAAGACAGAGATGGGGGTATCTTGGGGCTGGAAGGGGCTTCCTCGTCCTTTAATTTTAGAGAAGTTTGTTGAACGCCTTTAGCTGTCCCGTTGTTGTCAGCAGGAGATGGAGCAGGGCTGCTGTCGACGTCATCGTCTTCATCAGAGGGCTCCACTGCTTCCTGCTTCACTTTAACATTGTTGCTGACATTTGTGTTAGTGCTGCTGTTAGGAGTGGTTGCAGCAGAAACAGACGATGCAGGAGTACCAGTAGACTTCCCTTTGACACTGTAGATCTTGTGAACTATGCGCATGTGTCTCTTCAACATAAGCTGGAAAAACAAAAAGAACCAACAATCAGAAAATCTCTTTAGAAAGAACATTAATATTCATACCGCTTTGACTTTTAATAATTGATGCATTTCATGCAATGTCACATCTCATAACCACACAGATAAACACATCAGTATGAAGTAGAAAGGAAATTATATCAAAATGTATCTTTATATCAAAATCTATTTTTCAAAAAATGCAAAGAGCTAATTTAGAACACCCCATCCCAAACTGATCCACGGCTGAGGAAGCATGATGCTGCGGCGATGCACCTCAACAGAGAAGCTGGAAAAATATGTGCTTGGGGCAACAAAAGACTTGAGAGTGGGGTTGACTTTCAGCAGAACAAATAAAAAGGGATGGTTTTAATCAAACAGTCTATCAATTTATTCAATTGCTGAACTATCAGACATAAACTGAATTAAAGAGTTGAAAACTGATTTAAACAGTTGTGTTTCATCCAGTCTCATTGAGACGAGACATGTTGCATCAAAGAATAAGAAACAGATACAAGACTTTTTAGTTTGTTACAAATTCTGAAAACAATGGATTAAATATCCTACTTAATGTAATTATATTGCTTTTTTTCCAATAAAATATGTGTATTGAGGTTGCAAAATAAGAAAAAAATAGATTCCATTAATATTGAAAGGAACTGTCAACACTTTCATAACAAAGATCCAATTGATAGGCAGAGAAACCCAGTCTTTTGACTCAGGTATTGGTTAAACTGACCTGTGAGCTGTAGTTCCTCTTGCATTGGGTGCATCGACATGAGGCCGAGTTCACCTGCGAGGCGGCCTGGGTCTGACTCTGAGGTTTTCCTTGGGTTTGATTTGAGGTGGTGCTTTTAGAGTTCACTTGGGTGGGCTTGGAGCTGTGGCCACGTGTCGGGGAGGAATTGTTGCTCTTCCTAGGAGGAGTGACTTCCAGTGAGAAGGGCTGGCCTGGCCTCGAGGCGATGCTAGGTGTGATGTTGTCCCTCCGTAGACCCCGGTGCACCTCGTCAAAGTGCCTCCGAACGTTGGCCTTGGTGGCAAAGCTTTTCAGGCACACTGGGCAGGATTTTCCAGTCGGTGTGCTCAGAGTCCTTGGTCGGCCTTTAACAGCAGGAAATGTATATCTATTAAACAGCTAATTTACTTTCTGGAACAATAAATGGCACATATTTCTTCTAAAAATAAAAGGTAAGATAAAATGTTGCTCTCTGTTTAAAAAAAACAACCCATATCCTCAGTTGGATTTTACAGTGTATATTCTTACCTTTTACCATGGAGAGCAGGCTTGTAGGAACTGTGCGTGTCTCAGTGAACTTTCGCAGCTCCTCGAGTTTAGTCTGGTGCATTTTGCGGCAGTGACGCCTGATACTCCGACGGGAATTAAAGTCTTGGCCACAGAGACAACAGGAAATGGTCACATCTTCCACCTGCAGGGTTGTGAAAAAATAATGTTTTGTACCAAAAACCAAACAGACTTGACAGAAAACAACTATAGAGAGAATCACTAAACCAACTTCATAACCTACCCCACTATTGGAGCCATCGTCTTCAGGCTTCGGCTGCTCCTCTTTAGCCTCTTCCTCAGCATCCCATTTCTTCGGCCCTGGGCTGCTGTGGCTGTCGCCTCCACTCGGTTGCCCGATCGGATTGTTTTCCGAAACCTCTGTTGTTTCTCCTTCCCAACCTACAGGACTCTCTCTGGCACTGTGATGAACAACAACACATGTTTACAAAAAAACAAAAAAAACAAAAGCAAAACAAAATCACTAAGTTGATTTATTCTGCTGGTAAATATAGAGAATCTGGCTTAACCACAACTATAACTGCAGGTTTCTTATTCTAACAGGACTTGCCTGGTTGTGTGTGATGGGTATCTTGCAAGTTCCTCCTCTGTGGTGAGGTACTGGAAAACCGCCTTGTTGGTGGTCTGAATGGGCTCAAGACGGACCACATATTCCGGTCGGTCAACTCTGGGATATATAGCATCCAGTAAATCTTTCATGGCTACACTCTGTCTGTCGTCACCAGGAGAGCCTGTTGGAGAAAATCCTCCATTAGACCAAAATGGGAACAGCTATAACTAATAGGTTTGTTAGATGCTGATGCATAACATAACATGTTAAATAAGAATGTCAACAATATGATTTTCAAAGTTAATGTCGATGGTGGATTGTCGTGTTTTAACAGCTTTATCAATTATCTCCACATCCAATCACAGAGTGAAGAAGAAAGCTTTGACTCAGAGGGGATATTGCATACTTATTATAAAGCAATCTTATTTTCCAAAAGAAAGTAAGGCAAACATCTGATGCAAATTCACTGGTTGATATTGATCTTAATTTGGATTGCTTTGATTTTCTTTCCCCCTACAATGGACCTAAATAAATTGCATTTTGAAAATGTGCCATCTCTGTGGTTCTAAAACCAAATCACAGTTTAAAGACTGATGTAATCCTGTACATTCAAAATATTTAAAGTTGCCTAATTTACCTTCTAAATATGATCCTTTTGTGTTCTTTTTTATGTTAAAACCTAGTTTTTCAGTCATTGCTTTATTTGAGACATGGCACACAGAAAACCTGACCTTTGTGAAGCTTTTAGGCTTTAGAAAAGTTAATGTTGGTTTTTGTTTAAATATCAATGACTTCCTTAACAGTTCGTCCAAGTCACCTGACCGAATACAGGAGGAAGATAAACTCAGGTATTTAATGGGTGACTTCAATAAGGATCTTCTCACACTTGGTAAAAGGCAAGCCTTCAGTAAGTGTTTAGGAAATTATTTAAATTGTACTTATAGATGTGTGATCGCCATTTTCCCTCGATATTCTGTTCAAAATCCCACTTAAATCCCATAAACTTTTTGCCGAATTGTTTAATTTCCTGCATAAATATCAACACCTATCAGAGCTACTTAGTCTTTTTTTTTTTCAAATAAAACAGAATTTGAATTTCTCAAAATTCCAGTGTTTTTTTTGTTGTTTTTTTTTTAATAGAGAAGTTGAAGAGTTTGGTACAACATCCATTTGCAGAAACCATCAGGACAGAAAATGGGTGCATTGAGCAGAGACGACAACCATTTACAAAGCGACGGCTAAACAAAGAAAAAGGAGACTGTAAAGATGTGAAGAATATGCACAGCTTAGATAAAACTAACACAGGTGTTTTTGTCTTTCATACAAATAGTAGAAAAATCAACGCTTCACATTAAACTCAATATAGCATGCCCACTGATACATGGTGGCGGATGCATTATGCTGTGGGGAAGCAGAAAAGCTTTTCAAAGGTAATAGGAGGTTGGATGATTGGACCGGCTCTTTGCCTCCCCACTCTGTGATGCAATATTTAAAACATCTATAGATGTGGCGGATTTTGCACAGTGCTGTGTCTGCTCAGCCCACAAAAAAGAAGAAATTAACATCCATTTGCCACGCAAATCTCTGACCCCATAGATGGAGAGCCAAACTGTCTACCTGCAACGGCAAATTATGCAGGAATCAAATGAAGGTTTTAAAGTCTAAACAGACAAGATAAACTCTGCAGGATTGTGCTCTATGCCTACTGGTACATCTCCAGAATATTATGAAAAACGCTTATGTTTTTGTAACTCATTTTAGAAAGTAAAACCTTTACATTAATTTCACATCATGAACTATTTCAAGTCTTTATTTTAAAAAAGTCAGAAATGAAGTCGGAGGAAATTATAATATGACAAAATACCAATAAAGAAGAATGTGTTCTGCTATGCTTAACTGAGCAGGTATCAACTCTACAGAAAAACTATGGAGTATTTTTACAAGGAAGGCCAAAAACACCAGACCCAACAATACAGGTGACCTGAAGGCTGCTAGCAAATCTATGGCAAGCCAAGAAGACCACTATTCGCATTGAATTATCGCGTTAAGATTGAAATTAACCCCCCAAAAAATGCGCATTTTCCTGAAATTCCGCCGCTTTTTTCGCCATCTTTTACCAACAAGCACCGCCTTTTACGTGCGTCATGATGGCACCGCAAGACGCGCGTTGTCTCGGTAAGAACGCGCATTTTTAACACGCATTCTTACCGAGACAATCAACACAAAAAAAAAAGCCACGTAAAAGACCACCATGACACACAAAAAACGCCGCAAAAGCGGCAAAAATACGGCGAAAAACGCGGCGAAAGCACGGGAAAACCAACCTTAACGCCAGAATAAAATCAAAATAAACGCAATAATGCAATGCCAAAAAAAGCAGCCTCAGCAAACCAAAAAAAGCAGCCCCACCAAACCAACATGCACAGAGACCCAACAAAGAACCAACAAAATAAACAGAATATAAATTGAACGAACCCAAAATTCGAATAAAAACACAGAATTTAACAGATAATATGCAACACCCAAAAAAAAAAATAAAAGGAACCAAAAAATAGGAAATCCTAAGGAAAAACAGATAAAAAAAATAAGACACACTAAAGACAATGGGGAGGGACACAAGAACATATAAAAAACACACGAAAAAGGAAACATTTAATACCACAAACGAACACATAAAGAAGAACCAAAAAAAAAAAAATGTAATACCATTAGCTACTACATTGTGTGTGACCAATTGCAACAAAATGTGCTAATTTTATCTGATAAGTACGTTATTGATACGGAGTTCATCTGCAGTGAATTTAATCATTTTGCCATTAAGCTTTATTGATGTGAAAATGTCTCTATAGTTAAAGAAAAAAAGTGGAAAGGGAAAAGATTCATCTGTCTGGACTGTTACCAGGTTGTGATTAGTGAGGAAAAAATTGCATTTAGGGAAAGAAACAGTTTGCTGCAACCAAAAAAAAAAAAAAAAATTCAATGCACAGAGTAAGAAAGAAAAGAATGACGGCAATTAGAGTAATTTAATGATTCAATATAAATCCACCCCGCAGATACAAACTCTTGGTTGTAGAAAACTATGCTAGAAAACATCATTACAAGCCCTGGCAGACAATAAGATTAGGATGGATAGTTCATGCAACAGTATTGGTAAGGTGGAGAAACTGAGCAATAAATATTGGCTTCCCTTGTTGAGACTGTTTTCTGTTCCAGGGTATATGGAGATAATGAGAATGTAAAAAAAAAAAACAACACAGTGAGAAATAAAAGCCTCTCTTCCAGAGGTAAAGTTGGGCTTTGCGTAATAAATATCCAAAAGAGAAGAACTTTTTACTGTTAGTCTGTGAAACTACCAGGACATGAATGGTAATTAGGAAACAGATGGCATGGAAGTGAGTGAGGCATCCTCGGAGTGACAGAATAGTTAAGTCCAAGGAGACTATAAGAGAGAGTTTGTGTAAGCCATGAGGTCTGGGAAATGCTTTCTAGATGTTTACTTGAACATCTTTAATATGCATCAATGGTCCGATTCATCCTTCACCTCTGACTATTGATTTTCATAATAAACATTCAAGCTTTTTGATGTTTTATTCTTTAGGGTTTTGACAACATAGCTAGAATAACAAATATGAGTTGTTTCAGTGGATATTTTTAATGCTTGAAATCAATTTCGATGTCTCATTTAAAATTAGGTTTACGTTTAGACTTGTTTAACAATCTTTAAATCCTTTTCTTTCTACCTCACGGTTATGCACTACTTCCTGTTGATCTGTTACATTAACATTTCTGTGATATTCTTTCAAATCTGTAGCTGTAGCGTTATAAATGTTACAAATTTGAGAGGATTTTAAACCTTTGCTCCGTGCTGCATGTGTTGAAAAGCTTACCATCGGATTCAGGCAGCCGTGATAAACAGTAGTACTCCTTGTGTGTGATGAGGTTCGGGAGGCCTCTGAACAGACTGCGACACAGTTTACACTCGAAGATGGTGTCTACCTCCCTCAGAAGCATAGTTCTGAGCTGACTGGTGCCTGCAAGTAAAGGTGAGCAGATGGATTAACTCTAACAGCATCGTTCTGTAACTCATTCCCTCACTTTGAGTACATAAGTATATCAACCATTGGCGTTTTTGATTCTCAAATAGTCTAGATATCTATAACTTTATTAATTATATTTTTTTCAGGAAAGGAGCAGGATTTAAACTTATCTTTAACTGGCCATCACAGTGTCTTTAGAGACATGACTAATCAGTTCCAAGGACACTTAGGGCAGGTTAGATCCACCAAATAATCAGAAACTCAAACAAAAAAACACCTATGAGTCTGTAACATTGTTGACCTCTAACTCAAACATCTAAAATTAATTAAGTCTATGCTTTTAAGTATTTAGCCTCAAAATTAGGTCAAACAATACAGAGGTTTTAATATTGATTGTACAGTGCAATAATATTCTTATGTGAACACTTCTGCTTACATTTTTAGATTTCTTTTCCAAACCCAGTGGTCAGGTGGTAAATAAGACTTTTTTTTGTATTTATATGAAGCAAAAGAAATCAAACCGTCATACTTCTAACTAATTTCTATTTCAGGTTCTCTTTGTTTTAAAGTGTTTAATTTGCATAAAAAATAGCTCTTTTCACATTTTTCTATCACAAGCATCGGCTGGCTGATTGAAGAGGTGACTTTTAATCAAATCAGACTGAACTTGAGTACTCAGCAAAGTTAAATGTCACATTTCACAGTAGAAAGTGGAGTCGAGTCTGAAAAAAATGTCCCTCAGGGTGTTTAACTGTAAATCTAGATACAGATGGCGTACATAGAAATATACACAGTTTAGCTAAATTGCAAAGTAAAACACTTTATTTTAACCAATAACAGTTTTTCATTTGTTTAGATTATGCTGAGTAGCAGAATGTTTGCCTGCTTTGACTGCAAAGGATAAACAGACTGGACCTATATTACCATCCTGCCTAACAGGAGACTTGTTATCATGCGAACTACTAAATGGGGTCAAGAAAATTAACAGCAACAGTGCGACATATTGCCCAGTTTTAGACACACTTACCTACAGTTAATATGGATATTAATAGAACCTTTGACCTTAACACTTAATGCAAATCAAACAATTAGATTTTCTCTACCTGTTTGCTCAGGGTTTCCTCTTAAGTTGGCTATATGGTCTTGATTTGCCTTCTCCACTTAATATTCAGTGATTTGGCCATAAATATGAGCCCATTTTTATGCCACCAGTGAATGGTCACGTGTGCGTATCTCCTCCTGCTTTTCTATTATTGATCACAAATGTTTAGGCTTTATTTCTTGGCTACATAGTTTGTGGAAGATTATTTAAAGCCAGGAAATTGGTAAAAAAAAAAAAAAAAAAGTACTATGAGATTGGCAGCTGTTTGGAATTAAAGATTTTTAGCAGAAACCACAGGTTCTAGTGAGGATGCAGTTACTTTCAGTTAGCCATTTTTAGTACTGTGAGTGTGTTTTAAAAAGAAGTCTGAGGATGCTGAGTTGTAAGACGCTATTTAAAAGTATGTTCCATTAAATGTTGTTACTTGTCTAAGCTTTATTCAGGCTGCAAGAGGACTTTCAAGAGGTAACAGGAAGGCTAAGCAAACAACAGCAAAGCGTCTTGATTAAAAAATAATTTAAACTTTGTTAACAGGACAACTAGTTTTCTGCTTTGTAAGATGGTTTGGGGAGAAACAGCTGTCACTGAACATGAAAAAGGAGAAAGGGAAGGTGGTTAACTTCAGGAGAAACAACTCTGGACTGTCCCATGATTGCTGATACTGTCTACAGGAGCTATCTTTACTTCCTTTAGAGGTTTAGGTCCTTCAATCTCTGCAACACGATGCTACAGGTCTGTTGTCAGTCTGTTGTGGTGAGTACTGTCTTCTTTGCCTTGGAAGCATGTGGGGCAGGCATCAAAACAAAGACTGAAAAAACTTAGCAGAGCCTATTGGTTCTAAACTTGCCACCTTGGAGGAGGTGATGGAGGACAGGATGCTGGTCAAGGACGACCCCTTCTACAAAACACTGGACAAACTGAGGAGCAGCTTCAGCAACCGATTCATTCAACCCTGCTGCTTTTACAAATTATACAGGAAATCAATCCCCCTCGACTGCAAGCAGACTTTACAATTTTACAAGCTCTGTTAGAGCCACCATAAGAGAAAACTAAAAAGAACAGTGGCACTAAATCTTTACCAAACACCTTCTACATTGTGCATTAATTATTTTTTATGTTTATTGTTATTGCTATTATGATTACTTTTGCATTTATCATTTATGGCTGTTATCATTTATTGCTGTTGTTTACTATACAATTATAAAATTCATATACATATGGTTATTAACAATAAGATAACTATGATTGTATCTGTATCATCATCTCCACCTCAATGACTGCCCCTTTTGTACCCACTTATCTTGTGTTTCTTGAGTGTATTTTATCTTTTCTTACTACGTTATTTTATTTTGAAATTTTATTTGTATTATTTTCTGGTATTGAATTACAAAAAAAACAACTACAAAAAATGAGTATAAGTAAAAAATATTTATTTTCCTACTGGGATCAATAAAGTATTTTTGAATTTGAAATTAATTAACTGCGATGTGGACCTAATTTCCCTCCTGCTAGCCAACAAGCTATCTTGACGAATGTTGTTTAAACCAGTGGCATGTTAATTGTTAATAAAAGAAATTCAAGTGAATTTTAGAAAACATGTTTACTCTTTTCATCTTTGGTTAAAATATATTAAGTGAAATCCTTTTCTACTGTCACTCCTGTAACAAACATCAGTTACTTAAGTTAGAAACGATAAGCATATCTTAAATAAATGTTCTGAAATAAACTAAATCTGAATCTCCTTAAGCGCTGTAAGTAATGCAGGTTAAAAGACCAGCATTACAAAAGTCAGAAAAAACAAACAAAGCCAAAAATTATGCAGAATAAAAAATAACAAGTAATTGCCATTTAATACAATTATAAGAAAAAGTATTTAAAAAGTAGTAATCCAAAACTTCAGCTACATCCAATCCATAGAACAGCAAAAAAAGGAGAGAAAATTGATGGAAATAATAATAAAAGCTAGAGGAAGAAGTTAATAAAAGGAGTAGGAAGCAACAAGAAAACACAGATGCATACCAGATCGGAAACATTCAATTATCTGCTGAATCCCCGACTTGGAGGTCTGCAGAGGCTGCTGGAGCAGCGGAGGATCACCAGGCTCCACACAGAAACCTAGACAGAGAGAAAGAGAGACTCAGTATTATATCAAAGCCAGACCCTAATTGTATAAGAGCACGACCATCTTTGACAACTATAGCATCACATGAGAACATCGTATAGCTGCTATGAAACAAGACAAATTGTAGTGTTAAAAGAGCAAACACAGAATGAGATCTGAACAGGACAGTTATTCATTCTGACCTCATTACCTTCTATCACACCAACATGTTTTTCTCAAACACAGACAGACATAAAGGCAAAGCAAGGCATCTTTCTTCTTTTTAAGCTCTGTAGCCCAATAGAGGACAAATGGCGTGCATGAAAAAACCCAGGAAATTCACAAAGGTTACAGACTCTTAGGCATAATGAAAATTTATTGAGAAAAATTTATATATAAAACATTTTCTGTCCCTTTTAATTTTAGATAAACTAGAGAAGTTAGTGGGTTATAATCACAACAGAGTAAATGGGCAAGTAGGAACAAACAATCCTGATGAAAAGTGACCATTTGCAATTTAAAATTTAAATCTCCAAAACTAACACTCAAAAAAATGTATAATTGTGATTTTACTTTAACTTAATAATCTAAGTTTCAGCATTTTTGCTTTTTAAACATTTTATACAAAACCAATTTCTACCTGCTCAAAAAAAAAAAAAAAAGGAATATACTGGAAGCTTTTTTAGAAACTCATTTTCACAGCAATAGTTTCCTTGAGCATCCCATGTGTTTTCCGTTGAAAAATAAACAGCCAACATAAGTTTAAGATAGAGGCAGCCTAAGGCATTGCAGCGTCTTAAATCATAAGAGCAATGAGCCAAGTCTTTTAGGTTAATCGATCTCGATAACATGGGTCATGAAGTCACCTACGTCTCTAACATGAATAAAAACATTGGAAATGACTGAAATCAATTGTGACCAGTGCACAAAGTAATCTTAAAGGTTTTTACATTCTCCATCTAAAAAAGGAGACATGCAGACACTGCTAATCAGTTTTTAGGTTAATATTTTTTGCCTGATACACCCATGAAGATGTATACAACAGCAGAGAGCTGGGATGAGGCCGGTGCTTCTGAAGTACGTATGACACAGTCAAAAAGGTTAAAAGTGTGTCCGCCTCTATCAGTCGGCCCTCATGACCACTCATCTCATTCATGATGACAGTGAGTCAAACCGGCATCACTCGATCCATTTCACATGTGCGTCAGCTATGAGGTGAGACACAGGGATAGAAAACTGTGGATACTGAAGCAAGAAACATGATAGAACCGTGGGGGACGACTGAAAAAGGTAATGGGGATTAAAAAAACTAATGCCTGGAAAGGGCTATTGTCTTTATTACCATCCCCCATGCCTCTGCTTCCATGTTGCTATAGTCCCAGCAGCACAGGTCACTGAACCTCTACAACCCCTGACCTCCAGAACTGAATGTGGAGGAAAGCCAAAGATCAACAGCAGTCCTGATTACTGTAAGGGCTAAAAGAGCACACTTAGAAACCAACAAAGCATTAGAACGGACCTTGTTAGATGGTTAAATTCATCTCCAGGTATCATAATTGGAATTTAGACTGCAAAAAAATTAATGAAAAAAATAACTTCGCAAAGGAAGCGTATTTAAATGTTTGGATAACCTGGGCCTACTTGTAATGCACATCATGGTGCTGGAAGCCAAAAACAGCCTCAGTCAATTTCTCAGTGAGAACAAATCATTCAGCTTTATTTTGAGCAGCTATAGTCGGTGCTCTCGCAGTGAAGCAACACGGGGGGGGGTTGACAGACAGCCTTAGCCTGAAGGTGAATTAATCAAAGCGGTAAGAGGTGCAGGATGAAAAGAAAACACCTGTGTTCTGACCATGGCCGTTGGCATCGGTGGGCTGATCATTCTCCTCTGTCTGACAGCTCTGGTCCCTGGTCCCTGTAGGGGTGTTCCTGTGGGGTTCAAGCAGCAGAGGGGGAATGGGCTTCCACAAGGGCTTGGCTTGGGCAGCGGTATCGCTCCTTTCCTGGGCCTCCGCAGGACTTTCCTTGTGGTCCCAATTTTCGGACAAGTTTCCCTCTGGAGAAGTATTTTGAATAAGGGTTTGACCTTCTTCCTTGGACCGCTCCTGTGGGGGATCCTGAGTGTCCAAGTTAAGTTCTTCCATATCTGTTTGACCACCACCCTAGAAACCAAGCACAGAAATGAAAAAAAAAATAAATAACTACATGTAAACATATATATATATATATATATATACACTGAAAAAAGAACTAAAATTCCACCAAAAATCAACATAATCAAAGTTATCATTCAAACAATGTGAAGAATTGCTTAATATCAAAGCAATTGTATAAGTATGTCTATCAGCTTCTCACATCTAGGAAGGACTTTTATTTTTTTCGACAGTAGGCTGACAAGAAAGGGGGTATGAGAGAGGGGGAAAGACATGCAGCAAAGGACCTCAATTCTGATTTGAACCCTGGTCGGCCCCGTCGAGGACTAAGGCCCCGCATATTGGTCGTGTTTTAAAATAAAACAAAGTTAGACATAGAGAATCTGTTCATTACAGCACCCCATAATATTAAGTTGCCACGGTCATTTTCAATAGTGGGGGATGGAGTTTTTAGACAAAGGAAGGGGAGATGAACACTTCAAAAGATCAAAATAACAGGACTTTCGGTTTAACTACTTCAGAGAGAATTAATAATAAATAGATACTTCTTTGACAGAATAAAACAAAAAAAAATTAAATTAAATAAAACGTGGCCAAAAATGTGGTATCTACTTTACAGAGAGTTTTAACCTTAATAAGGCGGCATAAAGAAAGAGCAAAAATGTTTACTTCAATTGTCCCCCCATTCAGGTTTCCTAAACATTTCTATAAAAAAAAAAAAAAAACATTCAATTTACCATAAATCATTTTTTGAAAACGTAAAAGTCCTTGAAAATACTGTCCTCTCTGTGTAATTAGATCAGTTAACTCTGAATAAAAAAGTCAGAATTTAAATATCTTAAAAAGGGTTATTACTGTGATTTTTAATACATTAATCATGCTTGTAAAGATAAAAAACTGTTACAATTTAAACCATAATTGATCTGTGTACTAGTACTATGTAAATCATATAAAGAATAAAAATAAATCTGTACGTTTTTCTTTTCATTACTGGCACATTTCCTTATTTCTTAAGAGTCAAACATACTGTAAAGGATGCAAAAAGATCTTTTTTTTTTATCTGCAATAATTGAGTATACTTTAAACATTTTCAGATATTTTTATTTATTTTTTTTATACGTCTAACAAATGCTAGATGGAACTTTTGTACCTTTCCAGTCTTTAGGACTTTTTCCTGATAAATAAATGCCCGTTATTGGTGACATTTTCACTCAGCACATGTAAGTGGCCTTCAAGTTCTCTGAAGATCTGGACTATTTGTGGACCGTTATCTATGGCAATCACGTCCACTCTTCAGCAGATAAGTGACTCCAGTCCAGCTTCTCGGTTCTTCCATGTGTGCTGCTGTGTCTGTTAACCAGACCTTCCTTCTCCTCCAGTCCATAATCTTTTTTTCTTTCCCACAAACCAATTTATTCTCATTTTTGTCCGTCTAGCCAACTGTGTGTGTTTCTGCTGCCCTTGGAGATGGATAAATGAGTTCACATTAAGTGCATTACAGTGCATCACCACAAGACACAAGACCCTTGGGCTCCTGGATCACCCTATAGGTGAAAACAAACACATGCATGACACAGCATGAGACACATAAAGCCAGCCATGAAAACCACACAAAAATACAACAACCCCCCCCCCAAAACATTTAGTATATGTAAAAAATTATTGGCTCTTAGCCAAAAAAAATTTACCCATTTGATTCTGAAGTAAACAAAACAGTGAAATGAACTGACAGGAGTGGATCCATAGAGCTCTACTCTAATGACTCCTTTAATAATGGGAGGGTGGGCAAGATCCATAAGAAATGAGACTGATTACAGAAGAACTAGCTTCTGCATAATTCTTACTAAAATAATACTGAGTAAATAATGAATCATCAACCTCGAGGGTGTGACTTATGCTTTTAAACATGATTAATTTCCCTATGATTTCAGATATGAAGTTCTGATTAACAGCTCAGGTGGGAGTCTGTTCACAGGGCAGCCATTAGTCCATAAATCTGGTCTGTTAAAAGAAAGCAGCGATAAGTTCAATTTGAAGTTTGTTAAAAATTTTCTAATTAGAAGGAACCAAAACTGAATGCTTTACAGACGATGTAGAAAGCTGTCCTACACATCAGGTAGGACTTTATATTAAAGAGCAGTCATTCATAACAATGACCTAGTCAAAGTACAGACATGAATCAAATTGAGAATCTAAGGGAATACTTTAAAACCATCTACAGACTCTAGTTCCCTCTGTCTAAAGAGGAGAGATGTATCAGCCAAGGTATTGGGGGGACTCACTACTGGTGAAAGCCACATTTATCAGGTCTGGCTTGTAAATTGTTCAATAACTCTGAATATGAGCTACCAGATGGATGCATTAGTGAAAGAAGAAAGATTTCTGTTTAGCGTGTTTAGACTTTGTATGCAAACAGAGTGAAGTGGTGGTGTAGAGATTTGTGAAATCCTAATATGAGACTGGGCCCCTTTAATATTGTCAGACACTGAAGAATGAACTAAAATGCACTTGCTAACGTTTGGTCATTAAGTAAGATCACAAATCTTTGTCAACATCCCTAAAATATTTACCAAGCTAAAGAGGTGGAATAAAACCTTTGCTCCATCAATCATCCTGATGCCAATCTGATTTAAGTACACCGCTCAAGGCAGAGAGACATTATGCCTAAAAGATATCAAGGACTATAGAGAACTTTTATAAAAACATTACATGGCGTTCTACTTACATTTAAAACTGATCGATTGCTTCGGTTACTTCGACTATGACAGTTTTATTTTCCCTATGTTATTGTATGCGTTTCTTAAAACCAATAAAAAAATCAGGACCAGAATTGTAAAGTTATCACTCAGAGCTGACCAGTTTCATGACTGGATAAACATTTCTTCTTCCTCTGAGACGAGGCGGTCAGACAGAGCAGTAACATAAGAGTGTTTATCTTCCAGTACCTGTCTGCGGAGGCAGTGAGACGTCTTCCTTCCAGATGATTTCGGGGCCTTCGCCATCTTCCCAAGACTGGCGTGGTGTGGGACCCGTCCACTAGCAGCTTACGCCTGGAACAGTGCAACAACAGTTTACATCAGACCAGTGAAACAGTGAATCAGACACCACTTCAACAGAAGATGTCTAAGCATAGCTTTGTTTTTAGGCTTGTTTTATTCTTTATATTCATAATGTGCAAACTATTAACAAATGCAAATCATACGTGTTAAAGACACTGTATATAACATAACATTAACTTTAGAAAAAAACCTCCTCGGTTAACTCTGTAAATCATTTTCAACACAATAAATTTCACTGTATTGTTAACAAGACTCAGAAACTGGAACTTAGAGCAGGTTATATAATTATATATCTGGTGACTGTAGAAGTTTTTAACACTTGGCCATGCAGATCAGTGACAAAAATCTACGTGAAATCCATTAGTTTTCTGATCAGTAAAAGCCTCATTCATGAGTGCCATTAGGTCATCCAAATACAAATCCTTTGTTGTGTTGAAGTACTCACTGCTTCAAAAAGACTAATTCATTTATCTGAAGTATCACTAAAGTGCTTTAAAAAGTGAATTTTTGAGGAATTAAAAAAGGCATGAAGAGTTTTTCATTGAAAGGAAACAATTTTCTATTGAGAGATATCAATAAGGCTTTCCTTGGATGTCAGTTAATAACGTGAATTATATCAAAGTTACTCCGTTTTATCAATTTTAGAGAGTTAAAATCTGTGGTAGAATCCCAATTCTAACTAGACTGATGCAACCAACCACTTAAGTTGGGAAAAAATGTTTCTTAACATTACAATAAATAATTTTAAATTGATCCAAATCTGAGGTTTTTCTTTCTAAAATATTGAGCTGGATAATACTCTTTAATATTTTAATGGATTTTGCAGATAAAGTTGAAATGTTATCTTATGGTGCACACTACATGCGAAGATGCTAAAAAAAACTTAAAGTAGTCAATCAGTAAAAAGTAAAGGCAAAATTGTGATTTTTATTAATATTTTCTTTGTAGAGGTCAGTAGAAAACTAGCGAAATGATGTTATTGTTTCTGCTGCATTTTTGCAACATATACATTTGTTTGTTTTTGCACTGCTCTTACTTCCACATCAATGCGTTTTGCACCATGTTTTTCTCCGACACCATTTACATTGAATCACTTTTGCACTTTATAAAATGGAAATGTTCTTTTTCACTGCTAAGCTCATTCTCTGTCTGAAAGCTATATAAAACTAATTATGGTTTTGTATACAGTCTGTTGATACAAAGTGACAATAAAGTTCTCTTAGTTTAAAAGGTTACATTTTCAGTCACTTTGGAAAATAGAAAATGTATTTTGCTTTTAGTTCCTAAAATTAAATCATAACCAGCTAGAATAAGCAAAACACAACCTTTCGGAGCCATTGAATATATGTAACTTACTTCACGTTTTTCTTCTCTAAAAATCTACTTAAATTCTGTGAATAAAGAAGTAAATGAAACAGATATTCATTAGACCTCATTTTTTATAAACAAATAAATTTTTGTCAAAGCATGAGGAAAAAAAATATTAACCTAACATTTTGCTGTCCTCTAGTGGCCATTATTGATAAATTCTAAACTCCTGTGTACCTGTATTGTACCAACTTGCTATTTATACCTGGAGTGGTTTAGAAATAACGCTGTTTTTCTAAAGCCTACTATTTATCAGTAGGAAAGCATTTTCCAAACAATGAAATAATTTCAACCTCAGCACTATTTGTTATTACAATTAGAGCATATCCTTTTCTGCAACTCTATGCAGCTCAACAAGCATTTTAGTGAAAGTGACTCTAATAGCATTCAAATAAAAACAAACAAATGTATACTTTAGGAAAAAGCAGATTTATGATGTTTGGATGTAATTTTCTGTAACTTCCAGTCAGGCAGGAAAATAGAATGAACACAACTTCTTGTCACAGAACTACACGTCTAAAAGAAATTGATAAAAGAAAAGTGCTGATTTTCTATTATTGATGCTAGAGTGTTAAAAATAAAGTAATATAGAAATTAAGTGCTAGAAAATAGCTATTAAACTGAAAAGAAATACTGAGAAAATCAAAGAGAAATTGTTTTAGGTTTAAACATTTGCAGTCAATATCTAAAGTTAAGCTAGATAAAAAGCTTCTCTCTGTGAAATCAATGCCTGACATTCCCCCTCTTTATGACACCTGCAGTTTCCTGATGGTCCAGCAGAGGGCAACAAATGTACCCATTAAATGTTTTGGTATTTCCAAACTTTTTTTCTGTCCTGAACAGTAAGAGCTTGTGATTACAGGACAGCAAGCAGTTTGAGACATTCACAGTATTAACTCTAACGAGACAACTGTAGCAGAAAATACTGAAATTTATGAAAGGATCTACAAAAGAAAACAACAGTAACAAAACCTCTGTGTACATTTACAAGCACAGGGTCATACAGGAAAGTATGCAACAGGAAATTAAACCGAACAGTTCCCATAGTAACAGTTGTTTAAACTATCGTATAGTCACACTACTATGGGACAATAATTCAAGAGCTTTTTTTTTGTTTAAAGGGAGTTAAATCTACTAATAATGCAAAGCAGGTCACTTTAGTTTCACAACTTGTATCTGAAGTGGATTTTTTTATCTAAATATTATCTTTGACAAAAATCAAGATAAAGACATTTATTTTCATTCATGGTCTAGACTGCAGGAAACTTGTGAATCCTTATGTTTGGTGCTGATGATACAGCAAATCACTGCAAGGCAATAAACGGCAGAGGACACTTGAAATGATGGAGCTCTGACTAAACAGCAACTAAGAAAGAAACAAGGAAATGTCACTCTGTCAGAGGTAAAAGAAAAAAAATGTTAGAGACTGCTTGCTGATATTATATATATCAAGCATTCTAATATGCATAAATCTACAGTATGCAGTGGTGCATGTAAAGAACAAATTCTATCAAAAAAAAAAGAAAAACAAAGATGCAACAGGTGAAGTATGCCATCACCTCAACTGTGCCAGAAAAAGAACCTGGTTGAAGTTATTGAAACATTTCCAAAAGCAATTATAAAACATTTTCAAAGTGCCACATGAAAGTTGAATTCTTTTTATATTTAAAGTTTGATTTAATTTTTTTAACATGTATACATATTTAGGGTGATAAGAGTGGGTCAGTTTTTCATAGAATTATCTTTTGTCCAAACGCGCTTCAAACACCATGTTCTCTTCCATTTAAAAAAAAAATAAATAAACACAAGAATACGCATTGTTTTTATCAAATTACAACTAATATTGCCAACTTTCATTCACCTTATTCTGTCTTAGGTCATAATTCTTATTACTGTGGGCTAGAATGTGATTCAGAATCTAGTTGTAACTGTGGAGTGAAAAGCCAGAGAAGACAAAGCACTAATTACTGACTGAATAGTGTAGATCGGTAAGCCAGATCAACACTTAACTTGGAGTTAAATTAGAGCGAGGATAATTGCAAGTGTCACCCTCAAGAGGAACATTTGTGAAGAACTGACATCAATATATCAAACTGCAGATGTGCAGATATTATGTTAACAAAGCAACACAGCAAAGCAGCTATTATAAGAAATAAAGTTCACTGTGAGGAGATCTTACTAACCGCCTCAACTTATTCTTTAGCACTGAGCCTGATGTTCTTGTTTAAATCCCATGGCTATGTTTTGTTACTAAAAACCTTTGGGATCTCATTGCTGTAAAGCAGCTCCCTGCTCTCTGAAACAGTAAATTAACTAAATCATAGATATTTTTTTACTTGTACTGACCTCTCAAAGGACAATACACTATAGCCACATTCATCAAATCACACCCACATATTCACAGACAATCATAAATCCAAACAAAGATAAGTAGGCAAATAGGCAGATCAAAATTTTGACCTGGGGCAAAACAACTACCGGCAGCAGGAATCCAACCCTCAACCTTCAGATTGCAAGACAACTGTGTTACCCAGTTCCTGCAGTCACAAAGCTCATCTCTTTGAAAGAAGCAATCTACTAATCATCATTTCCACTTTCCTGTACCAGCTCTTTACTTTTCAAACTTCTTATTTTTGCAATATACTTTTTCTTTCATCAGATTACCAAATTTTTATCTTGTGTAACACATTGATTAGTTTAAAGAAGTTAGTGGCAGCCAGCTAGTAACAAGTCCCCTACACGTTCCCTTGTTTTCAAGACAAATTTGATTCTTAAAAATTATCAAGTCATAAAAAAATCATCCCCTTAATAAGGAAACTACATTTCTCCAGATTGGTGGTTTTTTAATAAGTCTGAACATGTTGACGACTGACTAAAGGTCCTAGCTTTCACCTAATGCATGCTGGAATACTCTCCTTCCCTTTCATCCAGTTGCTTTTGGAAATGCATTTAGATGAGTGTTTTCAGCCTAATGAAAATCCCAGTGCATTAGGGAACATCTTGGTTAAACTGAGTTTTGAGCCACACTAAATGTGTAGTACTACCTGCATTCATAACATCAGTAAACAGTATTAGATTTATCTTGGGATCCTGAGTCTGATTTAGATGTACAGCAGCATCCAGAAGGTTGCAAATGCCAAGCAAAGACCACCAGGAGCTAATTACTTTGCTGAGAGGTATTTCATTAAAAAGTCTGACAAGCTGTTGGAAACTACCCCTCTACCCCCCCAACCCAGAGTCAACCATCTCAACACGAACAACACGGCAAGAGATGACTTATTTAAGGGCATTGATGAACCAGAAAGATTTAAAACAAACAGATTTAGCCGCACATTCACCAATAATACACTAACACACATAACGCAAGGGACTCTACTATTTCCATGGCAACAAGACAGCCATAGTTATAAGTAGTGAGTCCTGTATGACTCAGGAAATAAAAGGATAGGTGTCCTGGGCTAAAACTAATAAGGAGTTTTTTGCTCAAAGAAACTAAAAATGTTATAATAATGGCATTTTCCTCCCAAAGGAACAAAGGAAGGTCAAGTAATTTAAGTGGAATTAGATATAATAGACCTTTACAAATAACTACTGACTAAAAAAGTTCTACTAGTACAAATACTAACATA